TTGATTTCACCAATGTCCAAGGAGGATGAAGCGCAAGAGTATTTTCCTCCTTGGTTGTTTCATTTTCTACCACCAAGTTAGTTTCCTTTATGGTTTCCTCATTGTGTTCCTCTACAATTGGCTTCAATGCCACAAGTTTCCAAATCTTGTGTTTCTGAATCCCTACCTGTTTTTTCTCAATACAATCATGACCTATTTTCAAACAAGCATAGCAATACTTAGGTCTCCATTCATACTTAATAGGTTGATCTACCAATTTCCCCATGTGGTTTTGAATTTTTATACTCTCAATAAGCTTATGTGTTATATCTACTTCAACCAAAACACGGGCATGTGAGGCACACAACTTCTTAACAGTACATTCATCAGTAGTAATTGGCTTTCCTATAGCACTAGCTATCTTGGTGATACATTACCCCTACAAGTATAAGGGCAAGTTTGGAAGTGTTATCCATAGAGGTAGAACTCGCAGTAAATCATCTTTCAACTCAAAATCTATAGTCCATTGTTTCAAGAAAGTGGCTTACCATACATGAAATACAGACCCTTCGCCATAATTTGTTCCTGGTCATCCTTGTTTTGCACCTTGCTATGAAATAACCCGCTTCATTATAGTACAGATCTGGAAGCGATGCAAAATTCCAGGTTTTCTCCATGAACTTCTTCACTGCATTCATCGAGAGATTATCCCAAGGAGCAAAAAAAAATTGTGTTCTCCCAGAATTCGAGCTCATCAGCCACATCCTCCTCTTTGATCTGAATGACAATTTCACCATTAACCTTCGTAGGAGCCACAAATATCAGTGTCATTCCTCGATTCATGTTTCTATTGCCTTGAGTAACATCTATCCAGGACTTTAACTTCTTCAATTCATTCAATTGAGAATTATTTTGTGGTTCCTCTAAATCTTGTATTGCTTCCTTTTGAGTTGATTCAATTACTTCTACTTCTTCCGGCTTCATCGTCGAGTCAGTTACCATGCTCACTTTCGTTACAGTGTTTCTCTCCGCCGTCTTCTAGCGCGCCACCACCCCTTTTGTCGGTCGGTTGATGCCTCTTTTGGGTTTCGTCATTTTTTTATTAAATTTTAAATATTTTAAGAGTTTATTTTGACAAAATATAATTACTAAATTTATATTACAAATATTTTTTAATCATAATATAGACAATGATATGCATTAATTTCATAGACAAACAAATATTTTATTTGAAGGAAGAACACAAGCTTGTAAATTGAGAGGGATATTCGTAATTTAGTTTTGCAAAATTAAATATTTATAAAGTGATTTTTTTTGTTTTGTTTTGATTCGTAATTATTTTTGATATAGATAATTAATTTTAATTTTTTAAATATATGTATTTATTTTTAGTGTTAAATTAAACTAAATATTTGTTTACAATTCATATAAAATAAAAACTTTCAATAACTTTATAAAATGTATGTCTATTTTGTCAAATTTTAGTTATCTGATGAATAAAAGATTGAATATATTAGTTACTACAGTAACTTAATCATTTTTTTAATTTATTATTTTAGTTTTCATTTATGAGATTGTAAAATAATTTTTTACTTTTGTCATTGATATCGGTTGAAATATGAGTGTTCTTTTTTTGAGATTATTGCATATTGTATTATACTTTAAGATCAACTTAAAGTGACTTATATTTAAAAACAAATATATTTTATTGTGTTTGGATTTCCCCATTTCTTTTAATGTTTAGATAACATTCTTAATATAAGCGAATATACATAGTTGGATTAATTATTGGCTTGTTAAATCATTTTGTTCAAAATGATATTTTATTCCGTCTTTACAAGGGTTCGAATCTGTAACCTTCAATATTGTAGAAGTATTGTATATGACATTCTAAAAAGTAAAAATGAGTTTTAAGATGTGTCACATAGAACTATTGGATAATGTGATAAATTTTAGAGTTATAATTGATGATGATGTGTATTATATTATATAGATATAGATATAGATTACTCTTTATAAATATTTTAAAACTAGTTTAAGACTCACGCGATGCGCAACTATAAATTAGCTTGTTCATTTTTTTATTGAATTTTAAATATATTAAGAATTGATTTTGACAAAATATGATTATTAAATTTATATTACAATTTTTTTTTGAATTATAATAGAGACAAAAAGATAAATTAATCACATAGACAAATATATATTTTATTTGAAAGGAAAATACATTTGTGTAAATTGAGAGTGATATCATTAATTTAGATTTGCAAACTTACATATCTATAAAGTGGTTTTTTTTGTTTTTATTTTATTATCATGTTATTTTTGCATTTATCTTTTATTTAGATATTTTATTTTAATTTGTTAAATATATTTATTTATTTTTAATGTTATTTTATATATTTAGATATTTTGTTTTTAATCTTGTTAAATAAAAATTTCAATAACTTTATAAAATTTATGTCTATTTTATCGAATTTATAAGATTGCATACTATATTATTTTTTAAGATAAATTTAAAGTGACATATATTTGAAAATTGTGTAAGAACTACTTTAAAATTAAAAACATTTATTTCAAGTGTTATTTTTATTGGGATGTTTCACATAAAACTATAGGATGATATGACAAACTATAGAGTTATACTTGATGATGTGTTAGAGTTATAATTGATGATGTGTTGCTATAAAATTTGATGCATTGGATTTAATATAGTATATAGATAGATATAGAGTTGGTTTTGACAAAATATGATTACTAAATTTATAATACAAACTTTTTTGTGAATTATAATAGAGACAATATAAATGAATCATATAGACAAATATACATTTTATTTGAAAAGAAAATACATGCGTGTAAATTGAAAGTGACATATGTAATTTAGGTTTGCAAACTTACATATATAAATTGGTTTTTTTGTTTTGTTTTTATTCTCTTGTTTTTTTACACTTATCTTTTATTTAGATATTTTAATATAATTTGTTAAATATATGTATTTATTTTTAGTGATAAATAAAATTAAAAGTTTATTTACAGTTATTATCAAATAAATCTTTCATAATTTTATAAAATTTATGTCTATTTTGTCGAACTTTATAAGATTAATGCATTCTATATTATTTTTTATGATCAATTTAAAGTGACTTATATTTGAAAATTGTGTAAAAACTAATATAAAATTAAAAATATTTATTTCAAGTGTTATTTTTATTGTGTTTGAATTTTGACATCTCTATTATTTTCGAAACAATCTATTTCTTACAAAAGGATAGGTTGACACAAACTATTTTTATTCAAATAAAATGCATCAAAATCAACAAGGTTTTATGATGGAACAACCAACAAGGTTTTATGATGGAACAACCAACATACATCAAACTTTAATATTATTAAATGTCATTGAATAAAAAGAACCAAATTTATAATATGTAATCATGATCAGCAGCAAACAATCACTTCAGTTCATCAACAAAACAATCAAGTTCACATGTTACTGCAAACAGGGGAAGGAATCATTAATTTTACTAACTCATTGTAGGCAATGTAGAAACACTTGATGACAAGCACACTTGTAAATTTTGCAAAATCAAGTATGTCTTGCTATTAATTAAAATAAAACAAGGGATACATCAAAAGTTCTTGCTTATTGGAAAAAATTTATCACACCTTTGGAGCATAAATAAATTACCCTCAAACCCCAATGAGATAGAAAGTCTTGCAATTAAAAACTAGTTAATAATTTTGATAATAAACTCAGTAAAATTAAAAGATACTGCTAGTTATCAAAATATTGCAGATAGATGCTGATAAGTCCTTTTGAGTTCTCATATTAAAATTACATTTAATAGAACCACACACAACCTATAGTACAAGACAAAATAACAAAGCCATATACCGTTCTTCAATTATCTGTTTATGTACCATGGTTGAATATTCCAATTAATAAAAAATTTAGAAAACTAAAATATATAAAAAAAAACAATTGTCGATACATAAACCAAAGAGGGCAAAAATATGAGGAAACCAAACATTTGTATTATAATACACGAAGAGAATAGGTACAGTGACTTGCTTGTTTGCTAAATTCAAAAGAGCTCATTTGAGATTCTCATGTCGAAGCACATTCCACACAAGACAGAAACATGCATAATTGGACTTACCAATTGTCTAAGCAAGCCTTTTGCATAAACATAATTGAAGCAATCCTATCAATTTTTCCAAGATAAATGTGAAAAGGTTGTACATAAATCCACAGTGAAAAATGAAGAAGATAGGAAGCTCACGGGTTCTTTAAGTTTCGTCACCACTGTTCACTTCCTTTGCTTATTTCTCGCCGACTTATTTCGTCTCTAGTTGCAAATAGCTTAAAGAAGAATTTGTGTTTATGCGTCACAGCTTGTGTGTGTGTGTGACTATCATCTATGGTCCAAAGCAAAACAGAAATCTGAAAAACCAAAAAACTGTAAGGCAAACAACAAGCAGTTTTCAATTTAAACTAAAGCAGTTTTTAATTTAAACTAAAACATGATGAGGTTAGATTGTTTTGACAGCAAGCCTGTCATGATGTTATAATGATATACTGATAGAAACCACGTGACAGAGGATGAGACAAATGAGGTTATGATTTATCATCAGTCCAATGGGCCCAAGGTATGGAGAGTATATTCTAGAAGGGGCAAAAAGGGGAAAGAGCAATAATTCTGTTAGAGTGAGCAGTGGGAGAATGATTGTACGGTACCACTACATAAGGAATGGATGAGAGGTTGAGAGGATTACCTTAGAAAATATTCTGTTTGTTTAGTCATGAGTAGGAGGCTCTAGCCACCTATAGGAGCTTGCTCTGTGTCAGATCTAGGGTCATTTCCCTTTCTGTAATTCCACTTTTTATCAATTAATCAAACAATCACTCTATTCGGTGTTGGATACCTTTCTTTTCTCTTATTATTTTCTGTCTGTGCTTGTTGGGTTCCCAACAAATTGGTCCGACCTACCGGATATTTCGACGATAGAGCCAGTGAATGCCACCTAAGAAGGTGACGTTTCCAGCATTCACCAAGATGGAAGCTAGGGTTGGTATTCTAGAGAGCGAGATTTCGGAGGTACGTTCTGCTCTCGAGGGGGTGCAGAATACGGTGACAACAAACCACTCTAATTTGATTGCAATGTTGGAAAAATGCTTGGGTAGGACGTTTACGGTGGATGACGGAGACACGAGTTGCTCTGTTAAAGGTACGCCGGCAGTGACAAAAAAGGGTGAACCACAGAGTACAGTTGTCAACAATCTTCGTGGAGATGCTTTGACGGAGTTTCGTTAGTCCGTTAAGAAAGTTGAACTTCCGATGTTTGACGGTGAGGATCCGGCGGGATGGATCTCACGAGCAGAGGTCTATTTTAGGGTGCAAGACACCTCACCGGAGGTAAAGGTGAACTTGGCACAACTGTGTATGGAGGGTCCAACTATTCATTTCTTCAATTCTCTCCTGGATGAAGATGATGTTTTAACATGGGAAGTGTTGAAGAGTGCGCTCTTGGAACGATATGGTGGAAACGGGGATGGTGACGTTTACGAACAACTTTCGGAACTACGTCAGAAGGGGACGGTTGAGGAGTACATCAAAGATTTCAAGTATTTAATGGCTCAGATCCCAAAATTATCTGACAAACAATTCCAAGGATACTTTTTACATGGCTTGAAGAGTGAAATCCGTGGAAAGGTACGAAGCTTGATGACGGTGGGTGGTATGACACGAGGAAAGCTTTTCCAAGTTTCACGCGCCGTAGAGAAAGAGGTTAAGGGAGAGATGGGTTTGAGCTATAACCGGGGATCCAAATCATATGGGTCGGGTTATAAGTCCAACAATAATGGAGCGGGTCGTCAAAGAGGGTCAGATTGGGTTTTTGTAAAAGGAGCCCAAGAACGTGGAACAGGTAACAATGACAAAAACCATGTTGGACCAAAGAGGGATAGGATGAGCCCTAATGAAGTAAAGAGACCTGGGCCACGAGACAGAGGTTTCTCACATCTTACATACCCCCAGTTATTGGAAAGAAAACAAAAAGGTTTATGCTTTAAATGTGGTGGGCCTTTTCACCCTATGCATCAATGCCCAGACAAGCAGTTGAGGGTGTTAATAGTAGAAGAGGAAGAAGATCCAAGAGAAGGAAATATTTTGGCGGTGGAAGTAAATGAAAAAGAAGATGTCGAAACTGATGGAGAGATGAGTGTTATGAGCCTGAATACCTTCATCACATCCAGCCGCGAGCAACCTCAAACAATCAAGTTCCAAGGGAAGATCCAAGGCATGCCGGTTTTGATTTTAATTGATAGTGGAGCGACGCATAATTTTATTGATCAAAGACTGATGCGGAGAATGGGTTGGGAGATTGTGGACACACCCGACATGTCAGTTAAATTAGGGGATGGTTTCCAAACCACGACTAAAGGGCGTTGTAAGAAAGTAGAAGTAGAGATGGGAGAAGTTAAGATTGAATGCACTCCACATTTGTTTGAATTAGGGGGTCCTGATTTAATCTTAGGAATTGAATGGTTGAAAACTCTTGGAGACACTATTGTAAACTGAACAAACAGACTATGAATTTTTGGAGTAGAGGAAGGTGGATTACATTACAGGGACTGAGGAGCAAGATTGATAAGGAGGAAGCTTTACAAGGTTTGTTGAGCAGGAGTAGAGTCAAGAATGAAAGAGTGTTGTGGACCATTCACAAGACCCAAAAAGATGTGATAGAAGCCCACTTGTCTGTAGATCAACAACAGGAGCTACAAAAGGTGTTGAATAATTATGTAAGGGTGTTTGAAGAGGTGGTCGGGTTACCTCCTAGCCGGAGGAGGGAACATGCAATTAACATTCGTGAAGGAGCAGGTCCTGTCAATGTAAGGCCTTATCGTTACCCCCACCTTCATAAAAATGAAATAGAGAGACAAGTTCAAGAGATGCTGGAAACCGGAATCATTAGGCACAGCTCAAGTGCATATTCCAGTCCTGTCATACTTGTGAGAAAGAAGGATCACACATGGCGTATGTGTGTGGACTATCGTGCTCTTAACAAGGTGACAATCCCGGATAAATTCCCAATTCCGGTGATTGAAGAATTGTTAGATGAGTTGCATGGTGCACGGTATTTCTCCAAATTGGATTTAAAATCCGGATACCATCAAGTTAGAGTAAAGTGTGAGGATGTGCACAAAACGGCGTTCCGGACACATGAGGGGCATTATGAATTTTTGGTTATGCCATTTGGATTGATGAATGCTCCATCAACTTTTCAAGGATTAATGAATGAAGTGTTTCGATCAATGTTGAGAAAAGGGGTGTTGGTGTTTTTTGATGACATCTTAATATATAGTAAAGACTGGCAGGAGCATATGGATCAATTGGGCCAAGTATTTCACATCCTGCAAACACATGGGTTGAAGGCTAATAGGAAGAAATGCCAATTTGGGCAAAGCAAGATCGAATATTTGGGGCATATGATTTCGGAAGAAGGAGTTGCTGTGGATTCCAACAAGTACAGTAGCGTGGTGCAGTGGCCGGTACCAAAGAATGTAAAGGGCGTGAGAGGATTTTTGGGATTAACTGGCTATTACAGAAAATTCATTCGTGATTAAGGAAAAATAGCCAAGCCCCTAACTGAGTTGACCAAGAAGGATGCGTTTGGTTGGGGACGAGAGGCACAACGGGCTTTTGAAGTGTTGAAGAAGAAATTGATAGAGGCACCGGTACTTGCTTTGCCTGATTTTGAGAAAGAATTTGTTATTGAGTGTGATGCATCGGGAACTGGCGTTGGGGCTATTTTGCGACAAGGTAAAAATCCTATTGCTTACTTTAGTAAGGCTTTGGGTGTGAGGAACTTGGCAAAATCTGCATACGAGAAGGAATTGATGGCTTGTGTTCTAGCGATCCAACATTGGAGGCCCTATCTATTAGGAAGGAAATTTGTGGTGTTGACTGATCAAAGAAGTCTTAAGGATTTGTTACAACAAAAAATCATAACTGGTGAGCAACAAAATTGGATAGCTAAGTTGTTGGGTTTCAATTTTGACATACGTTATAAGCCTGGGAAATTGAATCAAGGTGCAGATGCTCTATCACGAATTCAAGAGGAAGGTGAATTCAATAATTTTGTGTCGTATCCAGTTTGGGAAGAGTTTCAACAGGTGCAGCAGGAGATACAGGCTGATGAGAAGATTAAGAAAATTTGGCAGGATTTATCAGTGGATCCGACAACACATCCTGAGTTCAGTATACAACATGGCACGTTGTTATACAAAGGGAGGTTAGTTATGTCATCACAGTCCGCGTTGATTCCGAGAATGTTGAAGGAATTTCATAGTTCACCGCAGGGAGGGCATTCAGGTTTCTTGAGAACTTACAGAAGAATAGCGGCTAATGTATATTGGCCGGGAATGAAGAATACTGTTCAAGAATTTGTAAAAGGGTGTGATACTTGCCAGAGACATAAGTATGTAGCAGCATCTCCAGGAGGTCTGCTTCAACCTCTACCTATCCCAATGAAGGTGTGGGAAGACTTATCAATGGATTTCATAACAGGGCTGCCTAAATCCAAAGGTTATGAAGCGGTGATGGTTGTAGTGGATAGACTATCGAAATACTCTCATTTTGTGCCCCTCAAACATCCTTATACAGCCAAGAGTCTTGCCGAGATATTTGTCAAAGAAATCATTAGGTTGCACGGCATCCCTATGTCAATTGTGAGTGATCGGGACCCTATATTCATGATACATTTCTGGGGAGAACTATTCAAATTACAGGGAACACATTTGAAGTTTAGTTCAGCTTACCATCCCGAGTCCGATGGACAAACCGAGGTAGTTAATCGTTGTCTCGAAACCTATCTCCGTTGCTTTGCTGCCGATCAACCCAAGGTGTGGATGAATTGGATTTCCTGGGCAGAATTCTGGTTCAATACTACTTACCATTCTGCAACCCAACAGACCCCTTTTGAGGTTGTATATGGAAGGAAAGCACCTGTTTTGGTACGTTGGGGAATTGGCGAGACACGTGTGGAGGCTGTTTCAAGGGAGTTACAGGACAGAGATGAGGCTTTGCGGCAATTGCGAGATCAGTTGCTAAGGGCGCAAAGCAGAATGAAAGCGCAGGCAGATGCTAACAGAGTCGAGAAATCCTTCGAGATTGGGGAATGGGTGTTTGTTAAACTGAGGGCACATCGACAACAATCTGTGGTTTCTCGTATTCATGCCAAGTTAGCAGCACGGTATTTTGGTCCATATCCGGTGATTGACAGAGTTGGTGCCGTGGCGTATAAGTTAAAGCTACCTGAAGGGTCAAAAATCCACCCCGTTTTTCATGTATCTTTGCTGAAGAAAGCTGTAGGAAATTATCAGGATGAAAAGGACTTGCCTGATCAGTTGGAAGGTGAAGAGCCAGTTATGCCAGAACCTAACAAGGTGTTGGTGTCTAGGAAGGTTACGAAACAAGGTGAAGAAGTGCAACAGTGGTTAGTGCAGTGGAAGGGTCAGACCGTAGAGGAAGCAACCTGGGAAGATGTTGTGACAATTAAAAGTCAATTTTCGACATTTCACCTTGAGGACAAGGTTGAAGTTTCAGAAGGGAGTATTGATAGAAACCACGTGACAGAGGATGAGACAAATGAGGTTATGATTTATCATCATCCCAATGGGCCCAAGGTATGGAGAGTATATTCTAGAAGGGGCAAAAAGGGGAAAGAGCAATAATTCTGTTAGAGTGAGCAGTGGGAGAATGATTGTACGGTACCACTACATAAGGAATGGATGAGAGGTTGAGAGGATTACCTTAGAAAATATTCTGTTTGTTTAGTCATGAGTAGGAGGCTCTAGCCACCTATAGGAGCTTGCTCTGTGTCAAATCTAGGGTCATTTCCCTTTCTGTAATTCCACTTTTTATCAATTAATCAAACAATCACTCTATTCGGTGTTGGATACCTTTCTTTTCTCTTATTATTTTCTGTCTGTGCTTGTTGGGTTCCCAACATATACATCCAGACGGTGCTCCTAGAATAGGCTGCTAGCTAATGGATGCAAATGTAGCCATTGTAGCTATGCCCAATGCAATTGCAATTATAGCCAGGAATGCAGTCTCCGTCTTGTTATGTCCCTCTTTACCATTTGTTTGCACCTCAATATTGAATCTATCTTGTGTATCTGGTATATACTTAGATTTTAAAGCCTCGTATTTTTCAGCGCCCTCTTGTTTTCTAATTTTGTTTTTGTGATGCAAAAGGTGATTACAATACCCTGAATACAATAAAATAAACTAACTCGGAAAGGGAAGTTGAATGAGTGGGAAGTTAAGTTATTTTCCAAAAGAGATGAGGACCACGAGCATTTGCAAACAGATGCAATAGAGTGAGAGACCTGAACATCAAAATTGTGCTTTCCAAGTTTCCTTATGGCAGCTTCACGAACAACTGAGAACACCTTAATAAGATTCATTCATTAATTGAAAATTACATTTAAGAGTTATGGTTCAAATTTTAATCAAATTGAGCAATGAAGAATCAAAGTAAAAAAGTAGTGAAGCGAACCGGCTAGAGTATCAGCAAGTATCTCCCCTTGCCCAAGCCAAAGGCGAAACTCCTCGATTTTGGTGGCCAATTGCTCATTGGAGAGAGTTGAAGCATTGATGGAGTCCACTAGACGGAAGTACTCTTTGACTACCCAGTGGTTCAAGCTGGTGAAGTCAGAGAAAGTCTTACGAATGCGACCAAGATTTTCCTGAAACGAAGGGATATAAGTCAAATGCAGTTAGTTATGGCATTTAGTCGAATAGTTGATGTGCAAGGAGAGCGAAGTGGCCTTTATAGATGAGGCGGCAACAAATTCTAAATTCAATTATGACAATTAACACAAGAATCCTAAATCGTAAATCATTAGCATTGAAGGTAAATTCAATAGAAAAATCATTAAAAAAACACAAACTCTAAACCCTAACTCAACGTTTTGAAGTAAAATTCAAATGAGAAATAAGAAACAAAGATACATAAATAATAAACCCTAACTTACAATCATTGAAGGTGGTACTTTAGGACTAAAAACGGCGATGAGGACCGAGAATGGGATGATGGAGACGGATCGAGAATAGAATGGCGAAGACAGGTCGAGAATGGGTTGCTGTTGTGGGGTTGGCATGCTGTCATGACAACAGTAGCATCAAGTTAATCCATTGCACATAATATAGAATAGCTAGGATGTACTACATGATGGAGACTGCATTGTTTTGAACATTGATCGACATTATGGTTTAGAGTTTTATAATATGATGGGGATTTTTTTTTTTTTTTTTGGGTTTAACTGTCATTATAATCAACATATTTCATCTACAGACTGTGATTTCATTTCCAGCAACCGTTTCAAGTCTAGAAGGAGTCTCTTCTAGCAAGCTAAAATCTTTTCAATCCGTATTTCATGATATCACTTTCAGTGAAGAATAAGGTCAGTCTAAATCTTACTTTGACATCGGAGTATCTTACACTTACTCTCACATACTCTGAACCTTACTTTGACATCGGAGTATCTTGCATGTACCTCCCTTCCCATTTCACATTCAACCACTGCTCGACTTAAAGCTCGCGGACCTTGACAAAATCTTCTGTTCATGTACGATCAGTAGCGCCGTCTGTGGGAATCCAGCTTCCCCATCTTCTATTCAAGACCAAAGCAACTATTTATCAACCTTCTGATTGTCATGGTCGACCAAGCTGCCAACGATAACCAAAACGTCCATTTCGCCGACGCCAACAACAACAACGTTGGCGACAACAACGTGGGCATCAACAACGACGTGGCCGATCCCGAGCAAGACCACGGGAACAGACTGTCCGCCTCTTCATCCACCCGCTCGCAACCACGCGACGACGACTACCATCCTCCGCATAATTATGAGCCCAATACACATCAGGAGATCCTCGTTCCTGAAGGTGCTGATGCCACGACCAGAGCCTTGTTCGCGACAATCAACCAAACCAGTTGCATGATCTTCTCACAGGGTGAGCGCCTGATGATACTAGAGCAGACCCGTCGGGCCCCCAGAAAGCCCAGCAGACCTGACTCTCGAACTCCTCCTCCCCGACGGAACGAGGACCGCTCTTGATCTCCCCCACATAGACACAGACGGGACGATTCTCGAAGCCCTACTCCCCACCGCACTAGGCGAGGTCCTGCTTTGGAGAGGACCCAGCCCAAAACTGTCAAGAAACGCGGTCACACTCCCCCGTACAAACAACGACGATCCCCTGAACATAAAAGGAACAAGGGCAATAAAGAAAAAAAGTTTTGGCCAAGGGACCATCTTCGTGGCCAAGACCGACACAAAGATCGCCACTACAACCGGTCCCCCTCTCGCTCTCCAAAAAGAAGCGACGGAGACGACCCCCGCGGTCCACTGTCCCAAGCCATCATGGAGAATCCCATTCCTAAAGAAATGGATAAGCCTTCCCTGCTGAAGGAGTACGACGACATTGCTGACCTTGTCGACCATATCGACGGGTTTAAAGTGATGCTCCACTACCACAACATCGGGGGCCCAATTAAATGCAGGTTGGTCCCTACGATGCTGAGGAAAACAACCATGGATTGGTATAAGAACCTCTCTCCTGGTTCAATCACCTCATGGAAGAGCCTCAAAAACCAATTCATCAACAGGTTCACTACATCTCATCGATATTCGAAGACTGAGGCCGCCCTCGAGACAATATTTCAGAGAAGCAATGAGACCCTCAGATAGTACATTGATCAATTCAACTGCGAGACCATTCAGGTCTCATGTGTCGACCACATGAAGAGATACGTGGTCGAGAGGGGACTCCTCTCGGGCACTGAATTTAGAAAGACCATCGGTATTGAACCCCTCGGATCTTTTGACGCCCTCCTCGAAAAATCCCAGGCATACATGGACTAAGAGAAAAAAGATGCAGCCAACAGAGCCCGCGATTCGAGTAACCGCAGACCAACTAGAATCCCATGGCACCACGATGCAGGCCCTTCTCGACGGACTGGGGAGAATATAAGTGATGAGAAAATTTGTGAGCCCCGCGAGCACATAGGACCAGTCGAACAGTTCAACGAGTACACCCTGCTGACGCTTTCCACGAGCGTATCCTTGAGGAGTGCTTCAATGCTGAGTTCAAGGACGGCGGTGTCAAGCGTCCTCGACCTTCTCCTACAAAGCTCGGGGCCGACAGAACAAAATATTTTCAATACCACCGGAGCCACGGTCACTTGATCCAAAACTGCGTCCACCTAAAGGATGTCATCAAGACTCTCATCAAGGTAGGGAGACTCGGGCAACATAGGCGAAACGAAGCCCCTCGCCGGGATACTCGCAAGGTTAAAGAAATCGAGGAGGATACCCGACCATCCGATTAATATGGTCCCCTCCAGGTAGCTTTTTGTGTCTCAAGGCCCGAAGACTTCCACATCCCTGACAACTTTGAAGATAAGGAATCTTTTTTCACCCACAGTAGATGGGAGAAGTTCCCCTCTTCCATGCTCATATCTGGTGGGGGATTCAACGACATCTCGATAAATTCAGTGAATAGGAAACTCAACGAGCTGGTAGACGCAACCCCGATCCAGGCTGTAACCCTTGAATGATTCAAGGGAAAATATGAGCTGATCACTTTCTACCTCAAGGAACTTCCCCTCCTTTGTTGGTGAGGGCAAAGATGGAAAACTTTGATGTACATCGCATCCTGATCGACGAGGGGAGTCTTGTCGACGTCATGTACACCCACCTATTTCGAACCCTATAGCTCGACGATACCCACATATCATTGTATGTGGGGTCCGACCTGCAAGGATTTAACGGTTTGAGCTCCAAGCTATGTGTTGTACCCCAAAATTTTCCCTCTCATTTTATCAAGATTTTCCTCACAAGACTCTTTGGACTCAAGACCAGATTAGAGTTTGCTCAGCTCAAGACATCTCCCTGCACTGTTGACCTGAAATTAGGGTTTGAGTTTGCACAGGGATTTTTGGACTTCAACAATGCTCAATGTGACTTTCATACTTCATGTTGGACTTATAAGATTGACCATACCAAGTTTCAAGCCTTGAATCAAATTTTTGCCTAGTCAATTGAACAGTTGACCTAAAAATCAGTTGTATTGGGGAAAAAGTCAACTGTGGCCAATTTACAGTCAAACCTCATAATTTTTTATCCACATCAACATTTTAAACTCATATGAACCATTTTATCAAATTTGGACCACAATTCCTCAAGAAATTTGATCAGAACATCAAAGGGGCAAAATGGTCATTTTTAGGGTTTTGACTGTAGAAGGGCAATTTCTGATTTTTAACCTAGCCAATGGAAAATTGGGTTCAAGCATGGTTTCAAGGACTCAATGAAATCATCTTGACCTAATCACAAGGTTCAAAAGATCTCAAATGCATTAGATTGACAGATGAATTTTCCAGTCAACTGATCAAAAATCAACTGTACACTTAAAAGTCAAACTTTGACTTTTTGATCAAAATCAAGTGCCAAGGGTCATTTTTCATCAAGATGTGTTAAAACATGAAACTTGTTCACTAAGAAACCTAATTTTGAAAATTAGGGTTTAAAATGGAAATTTTTCATAACTTAGAAATTTTCTAAGTTATGAAAATTTCTTATTTTTTCCCCAACTTTTTCACCATGATGCAATTGGATTCAAACAAAACTTCCAACATGAAAGTTGTAGTACTTCACAAAATCTACAACTTTGACTCGAAAAGTTTTCCCAAAATATGCTTGGATCTCAAGTTATGATTTTGTGAATAAGGGTCCATGAAACTTTTAACTTAGTGAAATTTTGCCCTAGTTTAGGCAGGATTTTGACCTATCTTCATGGTAAATTTTCACCTAGTTCCAATTGGAATCTCAAAATTCATTTGAAATATGGATTTTAGAGCATGTTACAAGATTTCCAAAATGTACAAGAACTCTCCAAGATCATTTATGGTTAGTGAGAATCGAAAGTTTGAAAATGGCAAATTATCACTTTTGTCCAAGGCATTTTGCACATTGCTACAACTTGCAAATCTGTCCAAAGCATGCATGTACTTGTTTTACAGGTCTTAATCTTTTCCACACTCCTTAATTAAATTCAAATACAATGGATATTGGTCTTATTCTGAGCTATGGAGCATTACACATTGATTTATTCCAAAAATGGCAAAAAGGCAACATTGCTACTTTGATAAAGCATGTTTTATGTCATTTTGTTTATCTCGAGCCATGGACCTGATCTCTTGATACAAAAAACATCCACAAACATCAGGAAGAGCTCACCAACTCACAGCAGGCCTCAAGCTAGCTTGTACAACCTTGGCTTTTGTCAACTCAACCTTTTCTTCAAAAACACACCAACTTGCAAAAGGGTCCATAACTTGTGCATCTGTTAAAACCAAGACTGGAGACCATTTGAAACAAGTTCAACATATTGTACCAAGCCAGAAAACACGAATTTCCAAGCTTCTAGACACCCAAAACACAAAAACACCAACTTCTGCCTAAAACAGGGCATCACCTGCAGAATCACTTCCAAAACATATTCCACTCGTGCGTTTTGCCTTGAACCACTTCAAACACATTGCATACATCCCATCCAAGCTACCCAAGTCCCCGTTCAACAACTGTAACTTCATTTTCAAGATTCACCATTTTAAATTTCTGAGTTTACAGGTTGAGTTCTATAGGGACATTCAGGCCATTTCAAAGCAAGCTAAGCATTGGGAAAGGTCAAGGGAACATCAAGCAAGCTCAAAAGTCCTTCAGGCCCAAAGTTGCTACATTGCCATATTTAAACTTGACTGAAACAAGTATTTGTCAACTTTCTATCTCCTTATTTAGACATCATTAGGCTTAGGTTTGTGAAGCAAAAATGTAGCCCTTAATGTCCTTGAACTGTACATATGCATAACTTGTATTTATATTAACTGAGCTAGGAGAATTTGGATGATGAACATGCTGAAAAAACTAGGTCAGAATTTAGGGCCAATGAAATTCTCTCTGGTCTTTGAGAGTTAGATCAAGTTTTTTATATCATTAGAATCGTGTGATGATGAGCGATAACTTTCATGTTGCAAGATTTTGTTTTTAAGCACGTATGCAGGAGTTACAAGTTTGTACATGGCGCGCGCGTTTT